AGTGCAATGTGTATATAATACATATAAACCTTCCTCTTGAATCATTCTATCTAGCGAAAAAAACCGCATCAAGATTCGTTGCGTAGTTCTTAAGATCTAAGTATACATAGGGACAAACAGACAGCGGGACGACTTTGTTTTATACTATGTAGATGTACTATGTGATTTAGGCTTGTGTATTTATGTTTCGAATTTAGTGATTCATTTGTTTTCACGCCACTTAATTTTTCTTTGACATCGGTCTATTCAAAATATGGAAAACTTAAAATATCGCGTTATTTACGAGTACGATTTCCACCGTAGCGCTAACGCTCACAGTGGTTGAAACCAGGAGAAACAGCTAAATCTCAAGCGAAAGTAAAATTCAGCTGCAGCTGGCCAGAATATTACGGAAAATCTTTATTGTCAACAATTTACAAACATGAAGAATGAGGTCGCTTTTCAACAATCGAGACTATTTCCCCACTACTACTAGCTATTTCCCCTAGCCCACTGCTGTTCCAGCACAACGCTAGACTTCACGTTCACGATAGACGGTCGCTAAATTAGAAGAGCTGCGTTTGGTATATCCTCAACGTACTCCCCAGACCAAGTTTTTCGCAATTTAGATAATATCTTGCAAGGAAATAATCCACTTCCCAAGGGGCCTTAGTCCTTCGAGGATTTTATTTATTTATTCCCGCATATATTTCAGGAATGTAATCAATGGCGAAAGTTATATACCTATTATATAATTTTATATTTTTTTTAGTTTTACTTTTTCCATATAAAACGTCAACTTCATATGTAGGGACCTAATATATGGATCATTTTCAAATTTTCAAATGGATTATAACTCGCAAGTTTTTAACCGTCCATATGAAAACTAAATTGACATTGAACAGGGCATTTGACAACTGATTAGTTAATTCTACGTTGACGAGTCTTTCAGAAACTGGGCGTTAATGTTTGATTAATTTGTCTATCGTCAATCAAACAATGTTCGTAGGTATATGACGTTAGGTTAAATGTAACATGAAAAAAACAAATCTGCATTTTGACAATAGCCGCATGTAGGTAGGTAGGTACATTCGTATAAAATGAGATGTGAATAAAAAAATTGCGACAAACAAAAAATGGCGGTGTTTTATTAAATATTAAAAACGACATTGCAGAGAACAGTAGTTCCGTAATAGACTCAAAAATGCGAAGCGCCTCCTCTATCCTTTCATTTTTTCTCGTTTACTCGGAAGCGTTTAATATTATACGAAATTCGGGTCAAGGTCGCTCTGTGAAATTGTTGCGGTTTTCTTCTTCAAAGAGATACAACGCTCACGGTGAAGATTTAACGGTTTATTAGAATAGTACAATAAAGCAAATTACCATTGAATAATACTATTTATGAATTTATCTAGTTTTAATTTGTTTTATTAAACATGAGATTAAGAAAGAGATTTAAAAACCCGAGACGTATTACCATTGGCGGGAAACCTCTCGAAGTATTATTATTATTATTATATACTTTATTGTACACCACAAAGAATTTGATACAATTAGTATGAAATAAGTCTTAAAAGCTAGGTACAATAAGGCGGTCTTATCGCTAAAAAGCGATCTCTTCCAGACAACCTTAGGACGAGGAAAAATAAACTAATGAATAGTGGGAGGTGGTGTGCTCAATAAAGTTACTTAATACCAAAATAGACTAAATATAATAAAATAAACAAAATTATAATAAACATGCATAAACATAAATAAATACATAATATATATAAATAAATACACGAGAGAAGAATTAAATCTGAATATTGCCATTAAAAACTATGGATTACAAAGCGATAGATAATGTTGTTTTACGTCAATTTTAAACTTGTCTAGCGTCTTCGAACGACGAATTTGCCGAGGAAGTTCATTCCACAAGCAGATGGCCTTGACTGTAAAAGAGTTCTTATAATATTTAGTTTTGTATGCATGTGGTGCTAGAATTAGATCTTCAGCTGATCGCAGAACTCGTTCTGGATGGTTATGGCCAAGTGTTCCTTTAAATAGCTTGGAGTCCTAGGGTTAAATAATACACAGTACAGAAGAGAGACAGTGTGTAGATTCCGGCGAAAACGAATGGGTAACCACTTGAGCATTGAACGAAATTCGGAAACGTGATCATATTTGCGTAAACCAAATATGAAACTAATAGCTAAATTTTGAATACGCTCAAGTTTATTTAGTATATCCTAACTTTGGACAAGAGCTGCAGATAAAACCACTTTTGAAGGGAAAATAGATCGAAAATTTGGGCTAGGTAGACTTGACCAAATTTTTATATCGTCAACTCCACAAGCCATGGAGAGTTACGCTTCTCACCGCCCCCAGCCACCGATTAGCTAATTGCACAGTCGACGGCCATCGGGGTTTCGGTCCGAACCACGACCTCGATGGCCCTTAGATGACGTACCATAGTTAAACGCACGCATGAGCACATGCGTGGCCCTACCCACAGCGGAAGGCACAAACCCGTGGGTTCTGGCTAGCCCACCGGTTCTGCGTCAGATGAAGCTTTAATAGTCTCGGGACTGAAAGCAAAAACATCAGTTAATACAAGATACAAGAGAGTTACGCTTAGAGTTTCTCTGAAGGATATCGTGAAATGTAGTGATCCAACAGAAAATCATAGCCCTCAGAGCAAGAAAGGTGAACTAGCAGCAGACTGGTCGCACCTTTCTCAGAAGCACCAGCTGATGAAACCGACGAGTTAGTGATTGCAGACCGCGCTTAGGCAAAAGTAGCGTTGTATACCAGGTGGAATGAAGACTTGCGTTTGATTTCTGGCAGCAATTGATATTAAACGCAAAGTAATATGACTATACAACATTCGCTAGGACAAGAACAGCAGCAGACAAACAAAGGTGATACAGACACTTCATACTTTTTTTATATTTTGTGAATATTATACATAATTATGTACCTTTTGTTTGAATCTTTGTAAAGAGCATGTTTAACAAACTTCAAAGAATTTAAGAAATAAATATTATAGAAAATGTAAATACAGAATATGCGAATTTTCATATTTTTCTATCTTGCACCCATACCCAATGCATAGTTTCATTACAGAGAGTAATAGAAAAAATATGCTCAATACATATTGTCATTTGTTTTAAGCTAATGTATTACTTTGGTCCAGTAAGATAATCAACCATATACATTACATTGTGCGTAATAAAAAAAAACAATGTATAACTTGTATTACAATGTAATAATCCAGGTAAATATTTATTGATATAATAAATATCAATATAGATATTTAGCAATGTTTTTTTAACATATCTTACTACTATCATGTGTAAAACAATTAAAGACAGATAAAAGTGTTTTATGAGTCGAATTTAGTAAACTAATACAATGTATAAATAGCCCTAATGAGTATAAGTTGCATTTTCTAAAATACAGTATGCCTACTGATTCTCAAGAAGGAATTCGTTTTGTGGATTTAATTCTGTCTATAAAATAACAGAAAAAAAGTTAAGTGAAGTTAACAATAATCAAGGAAACTAATAATGTATGTAATAAATTATAGTAAACATTTGCAGGATATTTGTAATGTCATAACAATGAGACTACCATTGTATAGATAAATATCATACTTTACATGGTAATCATCACTGAGTTGACATTGTTAGATAAACATTTATAATTTTAAGTATGTAGATGGTTAAATATGCAATTAACATTAGATATAAAACTGATAGTGTGTTAGCCCACTGTGCAGGAACCAGAATTTAATTTAACAAAGTCATATTACACTGTGTTCCAAAATAATTTAATCACTTGATAACTTCCTTTCATATACTACCTTGTATTCTCTTCTTCTTATATATTTGTTTTAAAATTTAAGAAAATGAAATGTGTAGGTGCATGAAAATTAAATGGCATTAGAAACAATAATACCGCTAGGTGTGCACTTGGAAAACACTTACCGAATCACGCACTATGCTGACAAGTCTCTTGGTGCGCCTTCCTCGGTCCAAATACGTTTAGCATCACAGACGAACCGCGGTCACTTGCGAAATTAACTTTACCACACAAACAAATATTATGTATATATAGCACAAAAACCCAACGGTCCCCACAAAACCAGTTCCCAACGCACCAACAGTTACGCTGCTTCCACTTGTTGCAAAACTAACAACAAAAGACACCTTGGTACAAGTAGTAAATCGAAATAGGACCGGTCATTATTATAAATCGATTTTTAATTAATTTTAACAAATATTTAACGTTAAACGTGAACACAGTTACTTTCTATACTTACTTAAAAATTTTTTTCAATAAAAAAAGTTTAAGTTTTATTTCAGTTTTAAAATAAATTTATTTTAAAACAAAAATGCATTAACGTCAGTGCATAATTTACTAAAAGGCATTTGCGCGCATGCGTACAAAATGACAACTTCAGCGCAACTTGCGCACATCCAACCCACTTCACCACACATTTACAATTTTACTAGCCGCCTCTCACGATCGCGATACGATGCGAATGATTGCCATCTCATACCGGGCCGGGTTGCCGGCTGATGTGAAGGAAACCACAGACAAGCCTTCGATTTCGAAAAGAAAATGTAGAATAAAAAAATTATATTTCGAATGTACCTTAAAAATAGTGAGCATAACATATCGTAGGCAATGAAAAGTATGTCACTCAATTTTAATACATTTGCTCCTAAGAGTTTTGTGCAATTATCCATAAACTAAATGAGAATCCGGCTGAACCATCGTGATGACATTTATTTTGTTCAGTTGGTACGAAATTCGAAAACTGATTTAAAATTAAGAAAAAAATGTACATCATGTACCTATCAAAAAAGAGGAAAATTTTGTTATTGTAGATTTAAACACTAATGTCTTTCAAATTGTCGTTATTTTTATTTACAGTTTTACCGTTAATTTTTCTCGTAAAATTTAGTGACTATTATATTAGTTCGTTTCTTATTCTAAAGATAATTAATTGTACGGGTGAAATGTCACATTGAATGAACTTCGAGGTGGATCGTTACTCATCTGCTTGGGCACATATCGCCCTTTGTGCGGATCTCACATGGGCAACTGAACCGCCAGATGAATTTATCATAGCAAATCAGGTAAATATGAAAATATTATTTTATCTAATTTTTCGCTGAGTGTATTAAACAAAATATAGAATGATCAGCCGTTTATGGTGTTAATTATTCTTCTTCGGCATTTTATTTGTTACAAAATTGCGTCAAATTCTAAATAGGTATTTAATATTTTACATCAATTCTCGTCGCACATTCTAAATTGAACACTTATACCTTACAGCGCCTTTGGGCACAGCATTGTCGTGTTTCACAAGTTCTCCAAGATACGTCTGTAGAGTCATCGCAAAATCAATGCGACCTATCAGGTTGGACAAAATTTCGGAGTCATCTTTAAATCTATGAGTCATGACTTACTATAGCACTCGTTTACTTTTTAGATTCTCAGACACCCTCGAACCAAGAAAATGGGCACTGTTTTCGAAAAAGTGTAAAGGATGTTATACCAGAGTCCAAATTAGCTCAATGTTATGGAAACTTTTATTATGACGAAGTCAGGTTATTCAACTTTTTACTTTTTCATAATTTCATATAATTTCTCTAAGTTCCTCCTGTTTTAAAGCTAGTTATATTAGCTTAGAAAACTTATTAACGGTATGCGCTTCGAAATTTTTGTTCAATCTATAGTTCATATTCTTTCCAAAGCAACGCCTAACATTAATTAATATTTTTTCTTTCTAGAGAAAATTACTACAAGATTGCTAATGAAAAAAATTCTGGACGCATTTATACTGCTCAAGGATGTGAAAATTCTGACCTAACAGAATGTTGGATGTTGCCAGAGGTAATAAATACTTACTCCCCCCCCTCAATATTTAAACATTGTCTATTGGTCATACAGTGGGTCTACTATAAGTCTATATGTATATGGTGGAATAAATAAATATTTCTCAAAACACCTTGCAGATTTATTGCGATCCTTGCTGACTAACCAGTAACAATTGTTAAGAATGAAACGTAACTTTGTGATTTTTATTTCGATTTCTATTTTAAAAAAGGATTATTTATACAGGTGGAATATTGGTTTCGGAAGCTGATGGACGATTCCGCTGATCGTATGACGTTGCCCCGTCGACGAAGGCAATATAGAATGCCCGTAGAGGATGATTTGTGCGTTCAGATTTTTTATCATGTACTTTGCAACTGTTTTTTAGTATACTTAATAATATTAATATAAAAAATCTTTCGATCTTGTCAAACTATGGAAGTATTCATTCAAAGAAGGCAATTTTATTGAGCTAGAACAATGCAGCAGCTTCTGCTGTAATTCTGCTGCATGAATGGGTCAGCTGGACCAGGGAAGTACTACGACAGCCACAAAAAATCCGAGAATCCTTGCGTTTAATCTGGCGTGTAAATTACCCTGGACCTAACCTTTTTAAGTTAAAAGGTTATCAACCCAGTAGGTAAGCTTAAGATTTGGTGAGCACAGTAAATCTTTTTAATAAAAAAATAAAATGGAAGGCCTACTTATTATCATTGTTCGTGCCCGATCTTATGTAATTATTATTAGCTAAATTACAATAACATAGACTAAATAAGTTTTAGACGACCGGAAATTAACGGGCACCGATCGGCAGCTAGCGGGCGCTGTGGCCCCAGCGGGGCGGCGGCGGCGGCGGCGGGCGAGCAGGCTCTGTTGGAGGCCCGCGTGCGCAGCGTCCGACAGCTATGGGAAGTTCCTCAGAGCCGTCAGCAACCTCCCAGAGCCCCCAGCCCACCCCCCCAATCGCGAAAGATGCGCGCGAGGCGGAGGCAGCCGCGCCGCTTGAACGCCTTCACACCACCACCGCCCGCGTACTGCCTCGATGGTCCACCCCAGCTCTGCTGTGATCCGGCTTGCAAAGTTAGCACCACATTGTGTACTCTCGTGTCTGGTACCGGTTCCTTTCCACGAATTCGTTTGAGGTTCGTTTCCCAAAAGCATTCTCGAGCACATTTCTTGAAAAGTTTGCTCGAGAATGTCAACTGTGGTAGGGCCACGGAACATCTTTGCTGGCTGTTGCGCGAATGGGCAGGAAATATCACGACCGAACACGGCCAAAAAAATGGATAACTGCGCTATATAAAAAATTTAAATTTTCACAAATATCATAGTTTTTATTACCAACAGTTAACCTGTGTTTTCCATAATGTTGTTGCTTTATTAGGGGGACTGAAGGAAATATAACGTACGTATCCTACCCGAGCATTATAGTGCGATGGCAAAATTCTTACGCCTTTCTAATATCGTTTTTTTTATATTTATATAATTAATTAAAAAGTGAAAGACGTTAAGAAATTATTAGATATTTGCCATACCTTTTTTCTTAGTTTCAGTTTGACACGCCAAGACCACCGCATTTAACAGAGTGCCAACGGGCTTTGGGAAGATTGTCTGCTAGCGTTCAAGCTATAATGCGGGCTAACGCTGCACGGTGTCCATTGTATCGAGGCACGAACGTGAGTCGCTACATACCAACCGGTCAAAGACCATTACGGTGTCCTGATCGGCGTTATGGGATTTGGTGGCCGAGGGATCACCCCGCCGCGAAAATCGAAAGTCGTCTGCAACCAGCCCAAAGTTTCAGTGCTTCAGACTGTGGAAGCTCCGAATTAGCTAAGGTTACTATTGATAACACGGAAAAAGTAGAAGATGAGGAACACAGTGAAAAAAACCCGTTTAAGCTTGAAGTGAAAGAGTCGGGGTCACCAATAAATCATGAAATAGATGAATCGGATAATTTTACAGCAAGCCAAAAAGAAAAAATTATCGACGATGGTCAAGCTCCTACTACTTCGGCCGCTTTGGATGCTGGATTCAGGAAAAAAAGACTCTATAGCACCGTTTTAAGCACAAGCGCTCCTTCTCCAATCGCTCTGTCACCGTCAGGTTGTGTTAGGCTATCTCAAAAGTTGGCAACACCTGGCCTTATCAAGTTAAATCCTAAAGTCGTTCTTCCGACTAGGATTCGCCCAGCAAATGTGGAGGTTAAATTCGAAGAATTAGAAAAAGAGGCGCTAGAGCAATATAAAGCATCCGACGAAAGTATAGACATGAAATTTCAAGAACTAGAAAAGCAAGCGGTCGAACAGTACAGCACAAGCAATAGCAATACTAGTTGCAGTAGTGGTAATTCTACGGAGAAAAGAAATTCTAGCAGTTCAACTACACCCGAGATAAATCATAAATCACGGAAACAAATGTCAAAATTTCACAAAGACACATCGTTAGACAGTGTTGTTATATACTCGCAAAATTTTCCTGACATGAACACTAAAAGCCGTACAAATATTACAAGCAATTTAAAAAACTCCCACAACCCCCCGAGGGGGGAAAAAAAGGAAAGCTGTAGATCAAGTAAAAACTCGCGAAGCTTTAAGAATGACTGTCAGAGAGCAGCGTCTGATACTGACTATGAAGCAAAACCAAGCCATAAAGGAAGTCATAAAGGGCCATTGAGATGGACTTTACATGTGATGCCACCTAAGAAAAGACATTTGACCGTATGTGTATCGGACTTCTCGTCCGATGAAGATATTGAAGAAAATGGTTCCATTAGAGATGCTGGGCCTTGCTTTAAAAATCATATTACCGGTAAAGTAAAAATGTCTGCTCATGGTGGTGGTGACTTAAATCCCATAATTAGGAAAACATAATAAACATCTGAAAATTTGGTCAAATTTGAAATCATAGTTATACCTGCAGAATTATGTATTTAATCTGTGCTTTAGATTACTTAAGTGTCTTTTGCCTTTGTGATGATGTTTTTGTGGGTTTTGTGAGATCCAAATGAAAGCAGATGTGTATCGAACTATGTTAAAGTCAAACTGAAGGTTGAATTAAACCTAATGAGGTTGTTTTAGCAATGTGGTTGTTTTACTAGTCATAAAAGATTTGTATATACAGTTTTGCATTTTTGCATTTACAATCATATTCATAAGATAAAAGATATGGTTCATACTAAAATGTATGAAGTTTAAATTCTTTAGGTGTTAAAGGAAGCCAAAATAAATCTTTATATGGAATTTTAGACAAAAGTTATTATTTTGAGACACAAAAATAACCAAAACAAATCTAACAATGATTTTACTGTAACTTTGAAAATAGAATATTGTATATATTAACTATAAAAGCTCTTCATATCACCATAAAATGATGCAACATTGTTGCATCAACTCTCCAGGAATTTCTCCAAGTCTGTGTTGTCATCCTCTAACTGAATTTGTTCGAGAGAGATTTTTGGTAAAGATGTCGACTCTGAAAAATATAGTATTTCTTTTATTAGACACAAAATATTGTAATTCTAACTTAAGTTAAATGACCACTATTGAAAAGGTAAGAAATATACATTAATACATTGTTAAATAAAACGATTTACTACATTTATTGATAAGATTTTCCATTACCACAGTGTGATTTACCAGGTGCAAAAAAATTTATTCAATAAAGAAAAATCACTAATGAAATAAACAACAAGTAGGATTATCTGGCTGCGCATAGTTTTTAAGAAAAAAAATATTTAAAAATCTTTATTTTCACTAAGAAAGTCCTCCATTTTGTTATTGACAACATGTTAGATATATAAAGCTACTAAAAGATTTTTTGTTAAAAATACATACATATTTAAAGTTTTCGGCACACAGTTATTTTACGCACACTTTTCCAAATGGTAATGTTGTATTTATAAAAAACACTGACGCTTCTTCTTCTTCTTGGTTAAATTATTACATAGTAACATTTAAAAACTTTAATATTTATTTAAGTTATAAAACACGTTTTGTCCACACTTTAAACAAACAAAACTTTTTACAAGAACACCACAACTAACACAAAAAAATTTAAAAGTACTGAACGATCTGATTGAGATTGTAATAAAATTTTATAAAAAGAAATGAACATAAATTACAATACGTACATAATTCACTAGTGCTAGTAGACGCGCACATATTATCCACCATTACAAATACGAACATTAAATAGGAAATTGAAAAGAGCGGGAAATACTTATCTTTTTAAATTTAATATATAATTAGGTACTCAAATATCAGTACAGCCAATATGCTAATATCGATTTCGGAACTCGATTACAAATTTTATAAAATCTTTTTAAACAGTAGTATAAATTAATTTCAAATCTATTTAACACAAATTGATAGATTTTTTCATAATTGCACATTTTTATATATCAAGAAGCCTTATCTGATTAAGATTAATAGTGATTTTTATTTAAATTGTTTATTAAAATTACGAAGATTTTTCTTTTTACATACGAAATATTCACCTTTCATAAATTTAAATTTTTTGTTTAATGTAAAAAAAAATATTCATATTTCTGGCCGTGGAAGAGTCAAATTTAATTATGAATTAATGATTATTATTTCATTATTAAATTTTACTCTTCCACATGCTTCGCCAGAACACTCACTATGTCGCCCCTGAGTGTCGCTTCACCCTCCGTGACCTCCGGCGCGAGGTTCTGTCTCCGCCTTTTTATGTTCACTCTAGGGGTAGGGACCACAAGACCAAATGGAGTTGGGGTGCTCTGTGTCGGATCTGTGACTCATTATTTAAAAAAATAAATTATCGATTTTACAATCTATACGAGTAAGACGTCACTCGCTACCTATATTTATCATATTGGCAGTACTGTCTATTGAGTTTTTGAAGTCCACTTAGTAAAATGGCAGACTTTCGTAGTGAAAATAACAAATTTTAAATAATTTTTATCTCGAAAACTGTGAGTGAGCAGATAATTCGACGACCTGAATGTCGTAGTCAGTAGTGTACCTGCCTTCTGTGCCAGAGGGTGTGGGTTCGATCCCCACCACTGGAAAAATATTGTGTGATGAGCATAGTGTTTTTCTAGTGTCTGGGTGTTTATATATGTATAATGTGTATTTATTTACAAAAGAAAAGTATGTTTAAGTATGTCTATCAGTTTTCTAGTACCCATAGTACAAGCATTGCTTAGTTTGGGACTAGAGAATGTTGTGTAAAACGAATGTGTCTTAAATATAAAAAAAAAAAGTTTATATTCTGTTGCACAATTCGAATAGAATAGAAATTCTGCGTGTTGATTATTTCATTAGTAGTTTTTTGTTAGCTCGATGTATACTATTTAAATGATTCATCATAATTAATACACCCACTTGTTGGTATACTCCCGCTAGTGAGATATTTTGCGACATCAATCTCAAATGCTATTGCACTATTTTCTCTTTTGGCTTGAAGTTCTGCTAGTTGTTTTTTCTCCTTTTCAATATTTTGTTCAGAGTTTTCCTTAGAAAGTTTCATTCGTATCTCCTCTAGTGTAGCTGAAAACCACAAAAATGAATGGATTTATTTAAAAAAAGGTTGTGTCATATGTAAATGAATTTTTTGATCTTAAATTTTGTTTCAATTACTTATGATAATAGCAAAAGTACAATAATAAAAAAATATTATTTCCATTTATAAATATGCAAAACCTATAAACAATATGAGAATCTCTTTACGTACCCATTTTTTTTTCTTTATATAGACTAAGATGGTAATGGTGGTCTAGTTTCCATTTTTCCATATTACTCCTTTCAACAAAATCTTCAAAGTCTACAAGCTGCTCCTCAACATCTTTTAACAAATTTTTAACATTTTTTAGCCCATCTATACATTGAGCTACAGATGCTGTTAAGTTGGGTAAGTGGGCCAAAGCCTGAGCCAAGTCACTTGCACTTTGTAACCTTTGTTTTGTAGTTTCATGCAATTCCAATATGAGTTTATCAACTTCACCAGCCGCTCTAGCATTTTGATCTGCATTGGCATGCAATTCCACCCAGTTTTCTTGATATTTTTCCAATAATTCTCCTCCAGCACCATAATTTACTTTGTTTTCATTCGAAACCTTTTGCTTAAACGACTTGTCCTTAAAAATATTGGTCACTTTTTGCACCTCTTGTAGAGTGTGACGCAAATTATTATGTGAACTTAAACCGTCTTGTACCACTGAAATAAACTCCTTAAAATTTCCTAACATAGTGTCGATTTTAAAATCATTTATTTCACTTTTTGGACATTTCACAGCATTCGAATGACAATGACAGACTACTAAAGTACAGTGTGACCAGATTTCATTTGATGAATCTACTGTTTGTCGAGGTTAAAAACTGCTGAATTCTACCAAAACAGAACGAGAAAATACTAAATTTCCTTGTGTATTTTTTGCTGTCGTGTTAAAAACCTAAAAATATGAATGTTTTCTTGATTAAACGATAAAGTAATAAAAATAACAAGGAAACCACCATAAGTAAAGAAACCAATGTTTTTTTTAAGGTAAATTCATAATAAAAATGTAATCAAAAAAATAAAATTAAACTTAAAGTTAGGATTCTTCGTCTTTATAATGGGTAACATTATCATAAAGCTATTTTGAGTCCATTAAGTTGATCATACTTCTGTCAGGATCAAATCTAAATCCTCCTACCAACTGATCCCTCGTAACCCTTCTTTTCCATGCATTATTGCATCCAACATTCTTATTATTTAATCGATTTCGATCTTGATTTTTAATCCTAATATTATCGGAAAATATTCTTCCTCAGCGTTTGACAAAGGTAGTATCGTTATTTAATTCACAAATCGAGACTTTGCCGTACTTTGGATTGCCATTGGCATCACAGATTTGGCTGACTTCACTCCAAAATTTATCCACCATAAAAGTTTCAGACATCTAGTTAGCAGTTGACAATGATTTTTTTTAACATAATACGGGTTCGCACTCCTGCGCAAGTTGAAAGTATTAAAAAAAAAGTATTAAAAAGAATAATTAACTAAGAATTACATTCCACATATTAACGTTAGTAACTTGCATACGAAATGCCGGAATATCTTTTCATATTTTTTTATATACTTTCATGTAGCCATGTATTCCTTCAACGACGCCAGTTTACTTAGTAATTCACAGTTGCATGTTTTACAACGAGCACTCGTAATGTATACCTTAGATTTACAAACCAATTTTTAAATGAGGGATATTGCTCTCATTCATCGCGATATCCTTGTGTATATTTACGGTTCAATTTAAACTCTATTATAAAAATACTCAATAAAGGAATTCCTACTAATTTATCGCACTCTATGCTCACGGCACGAATGGTAACGAAAAGAATGCAAATTGAATAGTTACAATCCATTCAATGAAAGGGGAAATACCCCACATTTATCCGATAAGCCAAAAAAGTACTAGAATAACTGAAAAGCGTGAATTCTGCTAAAATTTACCAAATAATTTTTACATATTTAATTCTAATGCCAGTACCTCAAAATCTACCAAAAAAGTATAAATCTAATATATCTGGTCATGCTGTAAAGTAGGGATGTAGTTTTTTTACAATTTGAACTTTCATGTCCTAGGTACAATATAGTATAGAGGTGTTATAAATCATTAACATTGAAATAAATATTATCTTAATTTATAAATAGCAAGCAACATATTAATGTCATCAATTAAAATTACTTTAGTTTAATATGTAAATAAAGTTAAAAAAATTTAATTATAATCAAATTCTCAATAATTAAATGTCGCATAATATAATATCGAGTTTTCATAAAAAAAATATTTGACGCCATAAAAATTATTATCATTTAACCACATAAGTAACTTCTTAAATTGTCGTTAAGCATTTTCATGTCAATCAAACAACTATTACTATATTCTGTTCATCTAGGCCTGTCATTTAGGACACGTCTCTGTGGGTTTCTATTTGACCCATTATTAACTTGGTTTTAAACAATTCTTTGTTTTTTCCACAAAGTTACATTTTTTTATTTATATATTAGTTATTTTTTGATTCGAATCAGGGCTAAAGAAACTGATTTTACTAAATAAGCTGTTTGTTTTTTTCCCAATGAAAGCCTTGATAAATAATATACCTAGAAATTTAGATTAATAAAAGAAATTTGATTAAAATTAATAAATAATTAACATTAAAATTTCTCATTCATTGGAATAATATGAATTTGGTATAAAAAATACTATTACTTATTATTGAATCAGACTGAACTAAATACAATATTTTTTTTAACCTAAAAATTTGACCGATATATCGATATATCGAGGCTGATATTGATATTTTTATAAATATCGATATATCGATATTTCATCCCTAGACTAGAGTAATAAATGTCAATGTAATGTCATCCCTTTCTAATTTCTCATTGGTTTCTCCATTTGTCAAGCTAAGCAGTTGTTAATGTATAATAGGCATGAGATATACCTGCAACATTCTATACCCGGCCTCAAAGGTACGGGTATCGCCGTATACCCGGTGCTAAAACCCAGTATCAAAATACCTATAGGTATTAGTTATGTTCAGGCCTCCTTTTGGAGATCCGGTATGGAATTGAACCTTTCTTTGGTTGGAATTGGAACATTTAGATATTTTTTAGCAATCAGTTTTTTTAAATTGAGATTTAATCAGTCTAAAATAAGCTCCATCTTTACTATGGTAAAGAACCCTATTATCAAAAAAAGTAATTCAAAATAAATACTACTGTTTAACCTTATTACGCAATTATTTATTTAACTTATGGTCATAGAAATAAAGAATAAATTTATCTCAAGGAATTATTTGGTATCAAATGCCTAAATCGTACCTATTCGGCCGGCGGGTTGTCGCGAGCGTTATATACCGCCACCGTCGGACGAGGCGGCCATACCTATCGGGTATGGAACGGGCCTCTGCCGTACATGCCCGGTGTGCGTACTGGTATGTTCATACTGGGTATTTATACCAGTATATACGCCTCATCCCTAATGTATAATGTAAATAATATTTGGTAATGTCGCAAAAAACACTTATTGCATCTTGCGACCATTCCCAGGCGTTATAAATATGTTTGACAAGTGCGCCCGCATCTGTTCTCGAACTGCCAATGGTGAATCCATATTGCTCATTGTGAAAAATTTTGTTCATATTAAAATGTACTAAGAGCTGATTTAAAATTAGTTTTTCAAAAATTTTACTCAGAAATGGCAATATGGAGATAGGTCTGTAGTTTCCTGGATCATTTTTATACCCACTTTTGAAGACGGGGATTATCTTACTAAATTTCATAAGATCTGGAAATATTCCAGAATCTACGCAGTATGTGGTGCAATATATGTGGTCATTAATTTTATGGACATGCCCCATGTCGTCAATATGTCGTCCGAGTTCCTCTATGAATTAAGGAGAAACTGGAAAATTTTGACTTGCAAATAAGATAGCCTTTCTAGCTTCTTTCAAGCCAGTAATCTCAAAGTTTATTTTTAAGATTTGCTAAACTATGGACAGAAGATAGGATGGCTGGTAAAGCGACACTGGGAAATTTTGCGAATCCCTAAACCACCATAACCGACGGGTAGGAATGCTTGGATCCAAGATTGCTCGTTCAGCTGCATCTTAAAACGGATTCTAAGCTAATTATTATTAAGTTGTCTACTTGTGTCAAAAGAACTGGGTGATTCCAAAAGGAGCAGCAACGGAGCACATACGTAAATTTTGGGACGAAAAGACATTATTTTTTCTGATGCAAAGTGCATAATGTGGAGTGGACTTATTCCAAGGAGACAGTCAGTAGAATTTTGAAATTTAGTAATTGAATTATTAATATATTCAGAAATAGATTCATCAAAAATTGGAGAACCTAAAGGGAATTAATGTTACATTAGTTTGTAACTACTCTAATATTTGGAGCCAAAATATAAAATTTTTGTTTTACGTCATTTATAGTTAAGTCGCAGTTATTTATAAAACGTTCGCACTTGCTTAAATTAAGCTCCAAACCAATGGCTTCAAATTTATTTATGATTAAAAAAAGGTCCGAAAACACGGTATATTTTGGTTAAATATGTCGAACAGCAATTTTGGAGGCCAGACGTCGTAGTGTTGATCCAACAGCAATTGGGCTCACCCCTCTGTCCTTTATGGTGAAGGTAATGAGAATCGCGCCAAAAAGAATGGGAACAATTTCTGGATTGACATTACCGGAATACATAAAGTTGATTAATTTAGTGATCGAATTTACAAATTGCTCGCCTGCATCACCCACAGAATGCAATGTTAAGTCTTTCAAATGTTGGGGTGAGATTCCATCCAAAACTGCAGTAAAACCTGGTTTAAAAGATAAAATGAAATGATAAATGAAAGAAGTATTTCGGACGGACGGACGCATTTTTTTTTTACACAACGTTTTCTAGTCCCAAACTAAGCAACGCTTGTACTATGGGTACTAGAAAAGTAATAAATTTACTTAAACATACTTTTCTTTTGTAAATAAATACATACACGTATATAAACACCCAGACACTGGAAAAACACGATGTTCATGACACAATATTTACCCAGTAGTGGGGATCGAACACACACCCTTTGGCGCAGGAGGCAGGGTCATACTTTATATTCTTTTGGTTATACTTCTTTTGGTGGCTTTTGGAATAACGATGTGTGAATTTTTGCGACGCGTCATATAATATCTAACTTACTTATTTTAACCGGAATATTTAGCACTCACTTCGTTTCCTTCCGCAATGTTGAAAGATTAACCAGTTTTCAATCAATGTGTGGCCATTGCCAGTGTTGACCTACGGAACCGAGACGTGTATGTACGATGTATGTTGTACCACGTTTTCTAAGAATCGTATCCGAGGCAAATTTCAATTTTCAATATCTCATTTCGAAACTATGTATTTTAATAATTCGAAACTAGATATTTTACGTTCGCGTGTGCATCTAAGATCATAAACGTAATCCTCTATACGGCTTTAAAAACGGTACGATGATATCATAGGTATTTAACAGAAACTAAGATTATTTGCATAAAGTTAAGATTTAAAACTGCTTACTCATAACTGTGATATAAAATCAGTAAAAAATCTGATATCGTGCATTATCGTACCGTCGCTCGCAAGCGTGTATCATATCGAGGTTCGTTTATTCACAGCGAGTGAGCGAATATGCGATACACCGGAATCATTTAAATATTGTAATACATAAATTTTGAACGAGCAAGTAAACGATTTTTAGATATTAATAAAATTCGAACCAGTATGTCAGTATGTGGGTGTTATAGGTAATAGGGGCACGCAGCAGCCTTCGCTGTTGCAAAAATGGTAGGCTCATCCGGGTACGTACCACGACCTCACAGAAAACCGGCGTAAGGTGGAAGTTTTGTAAATACTTTCGCGTTTCGTCTGGTAAGTAAGGTAGCCGGAGTGTTTTTCTACCAAGATCATACAAGATCTAGCTTCGTGGCAATCTATGGGGGATGCTTATGTTCAGCAGTGGCCTATGTACAAAAATCTTTATCAAACGCAAGAGTACTGGCACATAGAAAAAATATCAGTTTTAAAGAAATATAACTTCTTACGGGCATAATTAAGAGCAGAAACACGTTTTTTTTAATATTTGACAAATATTTTTACTTTGATATGTGTAGTCGGAAGAGGTCCGTGGGTAATTAATCTATATTACTACCAATATAGTCTTAATGTAACTTAAACTTTATTTCATATTTGATTTAATAAAAATAAGACAAGTTTATTAATATTTATGTCCTTTATAACTGAAAATAGAGTCAGCCTATTGTAACCTATATGCATCAGGACACCGAGTCTGTGTCCATTGCTTGCCATATACATTTAAAAAAAAAGCCACCGTTAGACTTTTTGAAATTTGAAATAAATTTTTATATTCAAAAGATTTTGACGTAAAATAATATTAACCCTCTAATCTTATATTTTTGTTTAAAATGAATGAAGATAAACTGAGTAGCGATGAAGTGCCTCTTAAATTTGCTGAATGGTTGTTGGCTATGGGATGCCCGGCTGAGAAAGTTCCAGCAGCAGATAAAATGGCTTTGTATGTTTTTAACTCCTCGTCTATAAGATTTAACATTTGGTAACTTATGTTTCCCTTTATAATATAAATTTAAGGATGTGCAGAGGTCAATATTACATGGTATGGCGTAGTCTCATGGAACATGTATACTCCAAAAATGTTATTAGAGAAAAGAGATTACAAGTGTTTTGCAATGATATAAAATTATCTCAGAAAAAAACAGCTTTCAGTCAGGTACGTTACATTACTAGAATTTCTATAGTTTTAAATTTATTTACATTCACATATACTACTTCAAAGTATTGTATAAATAAATTTGAGAGAAATTATATTTAATAATAAAATATCATGTTACAAATGAATTAGATTAATTACTTTAACTTCATGTAAATTCAGAATCGAGTTGTACCACAGAGGTATTTAATCAATTTACATTATATTTTTATTTTCTCTGCAGAATTCAAATGTAGTACCTGAGCCGCTCTCACTCTGGCAACAGCAAAAAGATCTAAAGGAAAAGGTTTATGATGCTGAAAATAGATTGAAACAATCACAGGAGGTTTTGAATCAGTTAATGGAGAAAATTATCATAAAGTGTATGTGATATTGTTTATTTCATTTCATTTATCAAATCACAGATAATTATTTCGGATCTGGGTGTTTGTCAGTTTTTTGAACATAGGATAATATTATTCCAGTAAGGTGCAATGTTTTCAAGGGATCTTTGAACTTCTAGGTTGTAGTGGTTGTTGTAACTTAGTACCCAACCCACATAAAATGAGTAACTCAGGACTTTACCTTCAGCATTATCGTTATTAAATTTTACATAATCTGTCGCTGAGTGTTGGCCTCCTCCAGAGATTAATTTTTTTGTTGTATTTTTTGGTTTTATATTGCCAAATATCCTACTTACATTCAGTTGAACTGTCTTTCAGTGATGATTTCTTGTCTCAATGATTTCTTGTGATAGTAACTGCCATTAATCTCTGAACAATTTAAAACTCCAAGTAAAATGTAAAGTAACTGCCAGTAGTTCGAGAAAGGCACTCTCAGAACAAAGGTATAGCCTACAACATAACCCCTCTGCAAATTGGCAGAATTTATTATATTGTTTTCATTGGAAAAAAATATTTTTTTTCAAAATGTACATTTTTCCACAGAATGTTTTTCTTGATTGCTTAACAATTTCATTTACGCCATTACTGGGATTTGAAATCAGGTTGTTTGAGTATATTTAATTTAAAGCAAGCGTCTGGACATTGACTTTCAAAATCATTTAAAATGGTAAAACCTGTAGATGCAGATTCAAATCCCGGCAGCTCAGAGAATTTTTCTACAATTTATCTAATAAACACACATAAATTTCATTTCGAGAGCTAAATACTATACTAGCACTTAAAGTTAAAAATAAAATTATAATCAAACATTTTATATTACAAAGAATATTGTTTCAGTGTCACAACGCAATGTAATCCATAAGCATATTCAAAACCTACAACGGCGTGTGTGGTTCTTACAGCAAGTTTCTGAGGAACTACAATATAGAAAAGAGAACTTGGAAGAAACCAGGACCATTGCAAATTCCTTGTGCTTAAATAAAAATGACAATGAGATACAGGTGTGTGGTTAATATCTTAAACATTGTAAAATATCAGCCCTGTATTTACAAACTTTTATAATTAATATTAATATTAATAGTTTGTGTAATTTATTCAAAATAATTTATAATTCTGGCTGAAAGGGCCATGCAGAATTATTTTTCTGTTGCATTAATGGATATTCTGGAAAAGTTCCACAAATGGTGGCAACATATATCCCACGGTGTTGCTGATGTCTATGAGTAGTGGTCATAACACGTTTTTTTTAATGGCAAATGGTGGCAAACGAGCTAGTGTTTCACCTGATGTTACGTGATCACCGCTGCCCATTAACATTTGCAAAACCCGCAGGGTTGCAGATGCGCTGCCATATATTAATAAAGTGGGCCGCGGTTACCTCACTCTCCAGAAGAAACTCAGCATTATAACACTTCAACTACGACCTCAAAAGAACCGACGTAAAACGTTACGCCTTACCTTTGACTGTCGTTACAGACTATTGCGTGGTCCTAATACAGTTAACCCCGCCAGCTTGCTTGCCCCATCTCACGAAGGCAACATTCTCGCCGTAAAAAAATAACATTTTTCTTTCAGGGCAAGGTCGACAATACTGTGGCAGCGTTACGTCGCCAAGTGAGTCAGGCTTCTACTGAGGCTTCGCTACTCTTGCCGTCTTCCGCGAATCCTGTCGCTAGCTCCTCGGCGGTGTCGATTCAAGGCGAAACCACTGATTATGGTGGATATTTAGTCATTGTCAATATTGTTTCTTAATTGTTTTGATGTGTGTACATATGACTCGCTTTTCCTGTGCCAAACCCCACTCCATAATAAACCGCGAATGTTGAAGGTTGCGTTGCGAAGATACAATGTCTCTTTAAACATAATTTCTAGTATTATAATAATAACATGATAAATGCTTTTACGTCTTTCGATCCGAACGGGGCTTTAAGTATTCTAATATGAAGGATGGCCTCTCCTATCTGATAACCTATCACCGTAAATCGTGCTCAAATGTTGAACCGCTTGAATAATTTAAAAATATGAAATCGCAAACCGGAAAGTTCAAAGCCGCATAATACAATACTGCGCTTCGAACTTTCGAGGTCAAAATCCAATTACGTCTAACTAGCCCAGCAGCCAGGACATTTATTCTTCAATTTTGATACCGACCCGTGTGAAAAGTAGTTTCCACGTCTTGGGTGGACCCTAAGCTAATAGTCATGTGGACATTCTTGATTATAGGATGGGGTCTGTCTACAGATCGTTGAAGATGGGTATGCAAACCACGACGCCGACGACAATCGATTGTGTTGTTAATCGGTTAAATCAGTGTGAACCGGCCCTGATTTATTAACGCATCCAGATTCTCTAGTCAACTGACCTAAAAGCCTCATATCCTCAAGCACTAAAAACTCAAATTTTCTATACTTTGGCGTTTTTAGCAAAGGCTATTTGTTACTTTCAATCGAGTTCAAAAAAGGAGGAGGTTGTATTATTATTTTTTATGTTAATTAGATTAATGGTTTGGTGTAGCTCCTATGTGGTCCCATATTAATTACATTAACAGTATTGGATCATAAACTCCGGAGTGATAGGGCCACGCGACAGCCTGCACTGTTGCACGAAGGGGCAGGTCCGTCCGGGTAAGTACCACGATCTCGCATAAGACCGGTGTGAAGTGGAAGTGTTACAATTCTGCGTTTCGTCTGGTGAATGAAGTAGCCGAAGCCCACTTTATTAAAAGGTAGCAACGCATCTGAAACCCTATGGGTGTTACAAATCTCCATGGGCGGCGGTTATCACTTGACAACGAGTGAATCGCCAGCTTATTTGCCACCTTCTCACATAAAAAATACATAGGGCAACTCCGCTTGACCGGATTAGAAATCAATCGGAGCTGTTTATCGTCGAGACTGTTGATCACTTAGGTCGGACTGGTCCGCAGAGGAGTTGGTGTCCTCGCTGGCGAGGCGGGGGGACGAGGTTTGGGGGCAGCTGCGCGGGGGACGGGCGGGGCTCGCTGCAGCGCTGCAGGCGGCCAACGCGCGCGAACGCGCCGGATGCAAGCCGCACCCACGGTGCGTTACTCATTTACGGTCGGCTGCGTACGTACACACACGAAAAAAAACGAACACGTACGAACGCACACTTGGACACGTACGAACGCACACGTGGACACGTACGAACGCACACGTGGACACGTACGAACGCACACAAGAACAGGCACGAAAGCACACTTCCACGCTCGAACGCACACACCGACCACGCTAGTTCGTCCGCGGCTAAGACCACGCCGAAACGAATTCTTGCAAGTCATACATTGCCCAAAATAGTTCATTCTAAAGATAAAAATTAATTAATTCTTTGTATTTTTGAACTGATTAGGGTTTTTGTGAGTAAAACTTAAGAGATTTTAGCATTCAAATCAAATCAAAATCAAATCAAAAATATATTTATTCAAATAGACGGCTAATCGATACGTGCGGCTTCGTCGGTCTAAAGCCGGTAAACTTATATTTGTAACACGTCATGGACACGGAACGTCCATGGGCAGCGGTTATCACTTAACATCAGATGAACCGCCAGCTCTCTGGCCACCTTCTCACTTAAAATAATTGCTTAAATTTTCCCGTAAAAAGAAAATCATACCAGTGTTTTAATAACTTTAATATGAGGGCATATTGTCATTGTTTCATTTCCAGATCAAATCCACAGACTGTTCTCGCGCATACGGCGAGCCTGCACTGCTCATTGGCTTTGGAATCTATGAAGAATCGGGTTCATATTAAGCAGACTCAGGCGCGTTTGGCAAGTTCCATCTCTGATTTGAATGTTAGTATTTGTGTGCACTTTCAAAATGTTTTCTATCTTTATGTTTTTAAAATGTACAACAGCTTTGTTGTAATTAGTCTGTATAGATTGGGCAAAGATTGGTGTCTGCGAAAAAGTTTTATAAATATTATAAACATTAGCTAACTTGGTGTCTCATGTTTTGATTATTAGTAGTAAAGTAACAGCTTATACATGCTGCCCACTGCTGGGCAAAGGCCTCCTCTATACAGAGGTTATCAGGACATAGTCCACCACGCGGCCCCTGCGGATTTCCGGACTTCACATATATTCGAAATATATATTTTTTTGTTATTATTTCGAAAATATGCAGGTTTCCTCACGATGTTTTCCTTCACCGCGGAGTACGTGATAAGTCAGCACTTAAGGGAATCGAACTCAGGTTGCTCGAGGATATTGAATTAAAGGCGAGCGCCCGAACACTGAGCTATCACGGCTCCGGTGATTATTAGTATGGTAAGGAAATAGAACAATAGGTATTGTTAAGGATACTTGATTGAAATGGTTTTACGGAACACTACTATAATATATTGATAAAAAGAGTTTTCAAACTATTGATAGGGGAATATCTTTACTTTTTTACCTAACACTTTTTAAACACCTAAATTAATAATGCATATTTATTATCTATAAATATATCTGACCCTCCTTTGGGCGAATAACGTAGACTTAAAGAAGAAACCACTTACCTAGCTGCTTTTATGTTATAACCAACCTTCTCATAGACCATCATGCAATTTCACTCGCGCTTTACTCAATGTATCGACTATCCACCTAGAGCGTCATTGAGTATCGCTGAGTGTCATCGATCCCTAACAAATACAAGATACACATTAGTTATGTGTTTGCAACTTATGGGCATATACTATAATTTGACGACACATTATAGTATGACGTTACTTTGCCAAACACTAAGCTTAGCCTGCGTCTGATTTAACTTATGTTTGGATTGAGGACGCATAAGGTTGAAGGGCCACTGGGCCACACAGTGAAGTATAATATATGATGAGTTCTATGTAAAATGGAAATAGTACTTATGTGTTTCACTCACAGACCAACATATCCGGAGAGTCGTGCGAGCTCCTCGTGCTCAGATGCGAGAAGGCCTGTTCGGAGGCAAAGGTGAACGCGCTACGAACGCTTCTGAACGAGTTGCAAACGAGGAATGGTCCGTTTAGAACCAACGGGGAAGAAGTAGTGGAGAAGAATAACACCTTGAGGCGGATCGAGACAACGGATAAGGCTATAGTGAGTTTTGATCTTTGATAATTCATAGAAATCAATCAAATTTTATCTATGATGTTAAGTCCAGTTAAGACCTTATTTATCTATCATTAGGCTTTTGTAAGTTGCTGATAAAGAATTTAGGGAAATAATTTGAACAATGTCTTGATTTAATAGTATGTTATAATTTTCACTAGTATTTTTTTTTTCAAGGAATGGTAAAAAAAAACAGCTTACCAAATTATCCAAGTAATTGTATGTGTGCTGTCAAGCTTTTAAGATGGTAGGCCTTGGGTTATTATTGTATTCATAAAAAGCGCGATTTCCATCTTAAGTTATGAATAAAATCTGCTATTATAATATTAATCACCAATATATTAATGAAATATGTTTTTCCTCTTCTCATGCTCTAATTACATTTATAATGCTGATACAATTTTTATAGGAATTGAAGAGAGACGAATTAAGAAAGCTGATAACTTCTTTGACAATTACCGAGAGGAAAATTAACAATGTTAAGGAGTGCCTCGTTTCAGTTTTTAACAGCTTTCACAAGAATTCGCCTGTAAATGAGAATTATCAAAACAAAGGTACAACACATATTAAAATAATTAACCTATTGTTCTCTTGTTGCATGTAAGTAAATGAAAGGCTTGTAATGAGTCTTGGATGCTTTAAAGAATTTCCTTCGCGAATGAATTTAAAAGCGAAACAGAATTTCTGTAAAATCAATACTAGTTTTTGATCAAGAACATATTTAATTAAATTTTATTATTTATCCACTAGTACATATTTAAAGTTTTATTGTAGTATTGATTTATTACTACATTTTGTCGCTATATGCTTATATTATGTTAACAGGCGTCCAATTAGACTTCCCTAAAGAGTCGATATCGACTCTCCGACAGTTTTACGAGGAGAGACGCGAGCGTCGCATAGGCAAACCCGACCTCAGTCTTGACTTCGAAGTGTCGGACTATTCCTTTAGTGACGCCGTGGGTAGGTATAAATTTTAAATACATAGATAAATTAATATTTATAATACATTTTTACTTCAAAGGAATCCCCCGGATTCGCGCACGAGGCTTAGTGATACATACAAGCGTTGTGTAAATTTTTTTTGCTTTTTCCGTACTTTTAAGTACTGTTGATTTATTTTAATCTAACATTCGTGTTGTTTTGTTTTTAGGTAGTTTGTGGTAAATTGTGCCGTTTTTTGTATGTAAGTAGCTATTAACACTATGGAGGAGGATCCTCCTGATCCCGATCCACCTAATATTGGACCAAATTCCTTTTCCTCTTCTAATCATGTATCCTTAGATAGCACTGATACTTTTAATCGTAAACGTTCGTATACTCACAATGTGTCCATTCATCCTCAGAAGAGGCTTATTACTGATCCATCCCAGTCTCTCCCATCCATGCAATCTACATATGTTCATCCCAATTATGTTGACAAAAAAAACATCCTATTCTATTGATGATGAAGCTCCATTCTTAGTACATGTTAGCAAAATTTTAACAGAGGTTACCTCTGGAGCAGTTTTAAAACCCATTCAGTTTGGGCATTTCTTATGCCATAATAATATTAAGAATGTGGTTTGTGATGGAGTTAAAAAGGTTGGTAGGAACAGAATTTCAGTGGAATTTAAAACAGTAGCTGATGCCAACAATTTTATATCTCACCCTGCTCTTTCTGCTGCTAAGTATGAAGCTGTCATCCCATCATATAATGTAACTCGCATGGGAATAGTAAGACAAGTCCCTGTTGAATGGGCTTTAGAAGATTTTGTTTCCTCAATAACAGTACCAAATGGCCATGGAACAATAATTAAAGCCCGTAGAATGAATAGACGCTCAACAAATGAAAATAACATTCCCAACTGGATCCCCACCCAAACTGTTGTGCTGACCTTCTTAGGACAGAAACTCCCACTCCATATTTATTCCTATTATACCTCAATGCCTATTGAACCTTATGTTTTACCAACCATACAATGTTTAAAATGTTGCCGTTTTGGACATGTAACATCTCAATGTAGATCTGCCCCCCGGTGTTTTGTTTGCTCATCAAATCATGAGGGAATTTCATGCTCCAAGTCACCACTTTGCCTGTTCTGCTCAGGCCCTCATACTGCAAAAGATCCATCTTGCCCTGAACAGTCCAGACAAAAATCTATAAAACTAGTAATGTCTCAGGAGAATATCTCCTATCTTGAGGCTTCTGTTAGATTCTCCCAGGTCCGGAAAACTTTTGCTGATACTGCTAAGAGTCTACCAGTCAATTCTCATATTGGAACTTCAAGTCCTACACCTATAAGAAATCACACTACAATTCCAATACAGCACAACTCATACAGAGAAACTGTCCTTATTCCTAGGTCTCCCTATAAGCCTGCCTCTAGTCCTGGGTATGATAGGGCAGCTCATCAAGAAATTATTGCAACCCCTCCTTCCTCCCTTCCTAATGGCAGTGCCTTAGTTGGAAAGAATACCTTAACCCCAAATGATAATCTGTTTGAACTGTTAATTTCCATGTTGATTAGTATGCTGTCTCGTTTCAGTGACGTTGATCTTCCACTTAATTTAAAACAAAAACTTACTCAGCTGATTTCATTCACCAATAACCTTCCCTCCGATACTACAATGGAACTGTCGGAGCATTAGAAATAAAAAACATGAACTTCTTCATCTCATTAATAAATTTAATCCCTCTATTCTAGCTATCCAAGAAACTTGGCTCAAGCCAGGATCCCATTAAGGATGTAAAAGCTTTTAATACTTCAATTTTATCTATTTATATCCCTTCACCTAATGCTTCAGTTATTTCAGAGCTATTCTCTATTCTGTCGTGTCTCACACCACCTATTGTTATATTGGGGGACTTCAATATCCACCATACTATGTGGGGTTCTCAGTATTCTGATGCACTTTCCCTCATATTCTTAGAACTACTTGATAATTTAAATCTTTGTTTTCTAAATGATGGCTCTCCAACCCGTCAAACATCCGCAATTCGAAATACAAAAAGTGCTGTGGATTTGTCACTTTGCTCACCAGATCTTCGTTCTCTTCTTTCATGGCATATACTCCCTTCTACGCATGGTAGTGATCATTTCCCAATTTTTGTTACATTCCCTAATTCTTCTCTATTTGTAAACAATCAATTTAGAGCTCGTCAAAAATATAACTTATCCAAAGCTAACTGGTCACTATACTCATCAATTTTAGATAGTCAAATTTTAGATTTACCCCCAATAAATAAAGATAATGTCCTTTCAGTTTATAAAGAGTTTCGAAATCTACTTTTATCTGTAGCTGACAGAGTCTTTCCACTCAAAACTCCTTTTAAAAATAACATTCCATCTCCCCCTTGGTGGGATCATGACTGCACACAAGCATGCAAAAAGAGAAAAGAGGCTGAACGTAGATACTCACAGTCAATGACCACAGAGAATTACATTTTTTATAAAAAAACTGCAGCAGAGACTATGAAATTGTTATCCCAAAAGAAACAAGCTGGCTGGCTCAGGTTTTGTACATCCATGTCTCCCAATACTCCTCCATCACTTGTATGGAAAAATATTAAAAGGTTTCGATGTGCAACGGTTAGTGTAGACCCTACTTTTAATGATCAATCTGTTTGGATTGGAGACTTTTTGAATAAACTTGCTCCACCATCAGCCCCAATCTATGATGAATGTCTATTTTTTGATTCTCCCTCACAGCAACCGGCTGATAAATTTAATTCCCATTTTCTCCACAAGAACTTTTCTGTGTTCTTAGTGGTCTTAAAGATTCTTCACCAGGAATTGACGGAATCCCCTATTCCTTTATAATTAATAGTAGTGAAAGAACAAAACTGATTTTACTTAAATTTTTGAATAATATATTCATGACTGGCATCCCACCCGATGAATGGAAGTCGCAAATCATTATTCCTGTCCCTAAGCCTGGTAAGGCTGGTAATGATGCATCTGGATTTCGACCCATAGCTCTCTCGTGTACAATTGCCAAAGTTCTTGAGCATTTAATAAAAAATCGCCTAGAGTGGTTTTTGGAAAGCCAAAATTATGTACCAAAGAGCCAATTTGGATTCCGAAAAGGTTTAAGCACAATGGATAGCCTAAGCACGCTTGTCACAGATATCCGAATTGCCTATTCAAAGCAACAATACCTTGTAGGGGTATTTCTAGATGTTTCTTCAGCATATGATAATGTTCTTCTTCCTGTGCTCAGACAGAAAATGTTACAGCTGAGCATACCAGTGAAGATTGTTAACTTTATTTTTAACTACCTTTCCTCCAGGTCAATTTTAGTAAATGTTCAAAACTCACTCCTTCCATCAAGAACTGTCTGGAAAGGCCTACCTCAGGGCTCTGTCCTTAGTCCTCTCCTATATAATATATATACTTTTGATCTAGAGCTTTCTGTCAATTCATTTTGTAATGTTCTTCAGTATGCAGATGACCTAGCCTGTACATTTCCCTAGATAACATCTCTACAGCTTGCTCACGTCTAAATTCCGCTTTGTACTATTTGCAAGATTGGTTACCGAACATGGCTTATCCCTCTCCCCCTCCAAAAGTAATGTCGTAGTTTTCTCTCGGCGTAAAAATGTGCCAAATATTATAATAACTTATGATAACCAGCATATTCCCATAAGTGATTCAGTTAAATTTTTAGGTGTTTTTCTTGACACCAAATTATCATTTGTTACTCACATTGATTATATCTCCCAAAAATGTGAGAAAAATTTGAACATTATTCGGTCCCTTTCTGGCGTATGGTGGGGCGCTCATCCATTCTCTCAAAAATTAGTTTACAACTCACTAATTCGTAGCCACATCGATTATGGATGCTTTCTTTTCGAGCCATGTAGTAAAGCATCACTTAACGTGTTAGACAAAATTCAATATAAAAGCCTGCGTATCATTATGGGTGCAATGAAGTCCTCACCTAATAATGCCCTTCAGGTGGAGTCTGTTGATCCTCCTTTTCACTTAAGAAGGCAGTATCTTTCGGATAGATTCTTTTTCAAGACCTGTCAACTCTCAGTTCACCCCTTAATTCCTAGGCTTCACCAACTATCTGAATATGTCTCTTCAAGCAACTATTGGGTCCACAAGAATCCTCCATGTCTTTTTAAGAGTTTGGTCACTTTTCTCCGTTTCCCCTCTCCTATTTTTCAATGTAAGACTAACCCATTATTTGATATTCCTTATGATGCATTAATTTTTAAACCTGACATGCATCTTGACCTGGGCATTGAGAAAGATTGTCCGATGGCAGATTTTAACTTGAGTTTGGCCATTAAAAGATACTGGAAGGATTGGCTAATAATGTATACAGATGCTTCCAAATTCAGTGAATTGGGTTACTCTGGAGCAGCAGTTTGGATCCCAAAGTATAAAATAGCCCTTAATTTTAAATGTCCTTCCCCTACATCTATATTTACTGCAGAGGCTGCTGCTATATATGAAGCACTATTGTATATTGAGTCACACAACCTAGACAGATCAATAATATTTACAGACTCTAAAAGTTGCCTACTAGCTATTTTGTATAATCAATTTCGTGTTAAGTGTAAAATCCCTCTAGTTCTTAATATTAAAAAGATTCTATTTCAATGCCACCAAAAAGAATTACATGTATCCTTGGCTTGGATTCCCAGCCATAGTGGAATCTGTGGAAATGAAACAGCTGATAGCCTAGCTAAAGATGCTATACATAATGGCATAATCAAAAATATTACATTTTCCCATGATGTTATTCCACTAGCTAAATTGAGACTAACCAACAAATGGAATCATCAAATTTTAACTCCAGAAAAGGGTAAATTTTATTTTCTATACAACCAAAAGTTCCTGTAAAGCCCTGGTTCTTCAAGTATAATAAGGCCAACAAACATGCCACATCCACCATCTGCAGACTAAGAATTGGTCATGCATGCACCCATGTTCACCTTGCAAAGATTAGGATTAGGGATAGTTCTCTGTGTGAGTGTGGTTTGGATGAAGGAACCACCAACCATATATTTTTTGAATGTCCTAAACTATCAACATCATTGTATGATTCCCTTCCCCCCTACATCCCTCGTCCTATTAATTTTTCCTTCCTTTTAACTTACACTAATTCACCATTTGTATATATTCTATGCGACTTTATTATATCTAATAAAATTAAACTTTGACGGATTCAAGGTTCATGTCTAATATAACTGTTTGTCATTGTTCTAGGTAATTCAACAGGAAATTACTTTGTCTTTCTTGCTCTCAACATATTATTTTTTTCTTATTTTAATTCCCTTATATGATCTCTTATGCCACTGCTATGCCGAATCTGTTCGATAACCAATCCACTTAATAACTTTCCTATATTAACGTGGACATTGGCGAATACCTAAAGACCGCCATAAAGGAAAAAAAAAAGAAGAAAGAAGGAATCCCCCATAGAAAGTACAAACATTACAAGTCTTACAGAGGCAAATATCAAATTAATAACATTGAGACACTATAATAACTTTGAGTGCTATATTTCTTCGCAAATTTTTTCGTAATTTATGTTGAACCGCCGGTCACTAAATTAGCTAACTTGATAGTTGACTAAACGACGTTTCTGGGTCATGAATATGCAAATAACATATTTACCATACATAAATAATCTGCTGCCAAGCTATATGGTAGCAGTCAGTTGCTAAGATATAACAAGCTACTGTCGACATAACTCGATCACTTGGATGCCGGAGATTGGATCAATTCACACAAGGGACAATATTTTTGTGATCTGCAGATAATTGTTCTGGATCTGGTCGTTTATTCCTAAGGAAGTTTGACGTCAGGGTTTGGCGCCTGTCATAAAGGAGCCAGTATTTGTATGGTTTTTTACCCCTAACACACATGATCCTAACGTTTTACCGGCCGAAGGGCAGAACGATTATTCTTGATTGAAAATTTAGGAAATGCTGAGTCACTAAAGGGCTTGCATCCTTAGTCATTCTCTTTGAGTCGATTTAAATGTAGAGGCAGTTAAGGATGGCCCTTAGGATGGTAGGGTGGGTAACTGCCTCCTAACCATTTTTATGTGTGCCCGCCCCATTGCCAATCTCCTTGAATGCATATTGCGAAAATACGTATATTGGCTGTGTTAGTAGCAGTAGTAGTAGTAGTTCAGACAAAAATAAAAGTTTGGTTATGTTTCAGATGGCAATCCGAGGTTCGTTGAGGAACTGAAGATCTATTTGAGAAAATTCAACTTGGAGAACAACAGGAAGCTTGTTTTGGAAAGGTCTGTTGATTAAAATAATAATGGTTTACATAATTTTTAAATTTTTAAGACTCTATACTATGGTAGGGCCATGCGGCAGCTTGTACTGTTACATCAATGAGCAGGTTTGTTTTATTTTTTTATATGGATAAAAGGGGCAAACAAGCAGGAGGCTCATCTGATGGTAATTAATTACCGCCGCCCATGAAAACCTGTAGTACCTAAGGGCTTACAAATGCGTTGCCGGCCGTTTAGGTAATTTGTCCGTTTCCGTTTGTGCGGAGAAGTATCATGGCCTCACTGAAGACTGGCGTAATGTGGAAGTTGTTATGATTTCGCGTTTCGTCTGTTTAGTGAGGTGACCAGGGCCCAAGTTTTAAATGTAGGCGTCACATCTACAACCCGTCAGCTGTTGTAGATGTCCATGATTGGTGATTATCACTAAAAAACAACAGGTGAACATATCACCTAAAAACAATTGATTTGCGTCTAAAAACCGTAGAAAATTTTGGTTATTCCATGGAACTCTAAAATATTAGCCTGATCGATATTGAATACCACAGAGTACTATGTGGTTTTTGGTGACTCTATAGTCAAAGAAATAAGATAGACGTAGTACATCTTTTTACAATAAAAGGATAAAAATCCCAAATCAAATTCTGATTAAAAAAAATTTTTTTACCATCATACCAATCTGTGTTTTCTTTTTATTCACTTCTTGAAAGAAGCGATATTTGATTAAAAAGGTGATATTTCATAATACTGTCTTCAAATACAGCTCAAACTGAAAACTGAATAGCATTTATCATTGGTTTACTTAACAACATGTAGCACCAATTTTCATTGTCATTCAAACAATACATTTCAATGTCAATATTTTCCGTGCGTGTCTACTATCGGGAAAGGTCTAAAACTCACTAACAGACAGGCGGCAATCACTTTGGTAACAGTCCCGTTTCCCCAGTTTTCTGATGCTCAGATCGATTTGATTATAATGCTTTCCCCCCAATTTATTTCTCAGTGGCGAGAAGATCTGGATATTCGAGACGATACAATCGCTCATTGGCCGCCTTCACACGCGATGGCTGTCCGAGGACGTCTCGTGTTCTCTCCTCTCCCCATTATTTGGTTTGCAGAGCCTACACCATCTGGGGGTGGAGGTTGCAAAGAAGGGAGAACTCGCAGTCGCCGTGAGGAGATGGGAGACGGTAGCGGTCGAAAATGATACTCCGATAAGTGAGTATACTCTTCCTTTTCATTTGATCACTAGCTCTTTCCCACCGTTTCGGGTATGGAGTTTGTTTTTTCTTTGTTTTTATGTGTAAAGGTAGCAAGCGAGCTGGCGGTTCATCTGATGTTGAGTGTTAACCGTCAGCAATGGATAGCAGATGTGTTGCTACTTTTTAGTAAAGCGGGCCCTAGGCTACCTTACTCACCAGACGAAATGCAGAAGTATAACACTTCGTCATAGTACCACCCTTGGGATATCTCCTTTCCAACAAGAAAAGAATCATCAAAATCGGTTCATAAATAACGGAGTTATCCCCGAACACACATAAAAAAAAATAAAAATATATACGGTCGAATTGAGAAACCTCCTCCTGTTTGAAGTCGGTTAAAAAGTAATTAGTACTCTGTTTTGAGTTGATATGGATACAAACAGTTACCGATTAACATTTATTCTCTTCCAGATATACAGAGGATTGCCGAACAAGAGGCGGGATTTGTGGACAAAATGAAAAAGAGTATAGGCAGCAACCTGACAACTTTGCAACAGTGTAAAAAGACCTTAGAGGTTGGCCAGGAGAACCTGAAGTTTTGGGCTGACAATGAGCTCAAGAAGTACATCTCTGACAATAGAACTGTCGATGGTAAAACTTATAAAGAATATGAGACATTATATTTGGATAATCTTGTTTAGTTTAAGTAATAAATTATTTTTACCAAATCAAGTTGTAATGTATTTTTTTAATTATATTTTTTTTATATTTATGGGGTATGTCCATAAAATTAATGAGCACAATAATACCCTATTTTGCACCACATTTTGCTTTTATTTTTAACAACTGCATTGATTCTGGAATATTTCCAGATCTTATGAAATTTAGTAAGATAATACCTGTCTACAAAAGTGGTGATAAAAATGATCCAGGCAACTATAGACCTATTTCCATATTGCCATCTCTTAGTAAAGTTTTTGAAAAGCTAATATTAAATCAACTTTTAGTTCATTTTAATGTGAACAAAATCTTTCACGATGAGCAATATGGATTCACTAAAGGAAGATCGACAACAGATGCGGGCGTCGCACTTGTCCAACATATTTATAACGCCTGGGAAAGGTCACAAGATGCAATAGGTGTCTTTTGTGACCTTTCAAAAGCCTTCGACTGCGTAGACCATAAAACTCTCTTTCAAAAGCTAGAATATTATGGCATCCGTGGCATCGCCCTCAATCTCATTGCCTCTTACCTTAGTAATAGAATTCAAAAAGTATCTATAAATGATGTTAATTCCGCTGGGTCCCCGATGAAAATGGGTGTCCCCCAAGGATCAATCTTGGGCCCATTATTATTTTTAGTATATATTAATGATTTTCTCTTTTATGCCAGTGGGTTGTGTGATGTTGTACTGTTTGCTGACGATACATCGCTAATTTTTAAAGTTGACCGAAACGTATTATGACGACGTGAATAGTGCCCTTTCACGTATCCTCCACTGGTTTACTATCAATAATATGGTATTAAATGCCAAAAAAACCAGATGTATTTTTTACCCTTCCCAGTATAAGAAGGAAAAGTTTTAGTTTAATATTAAATAACGTACCCATTAATCCAGTTGAGTCTGCTGTATTTCTGGGAATTACAGTAAATTCAAAGCTCCAGTGGAGTCTTACGCTTTCGCCGGCGAGGTGATCTTTTAGGGCAGCGAGAAATCCTTTAATTTAAATTGAAAAATCCCACAGTCTCGTGGCCTTGCCGATATGCGCCTAGGTGGAACATCATGGGCATTTTAGTGGGTGCGAGTCCGACATAACCCGCTTTTACCCCCAGAAGGGCGGGTAAGCGTAGGCATTTCCCCATATATCATCTCTTGCGAATAGACTGAGCTCCGCTGTTTTTGCGTTCTAATCGCAAAAACAGCGGAGCTCAGCCTATAGTTAGGGTTAGGCAGCTAACAGACATCGACACTGCCAGACTTCTTTACTTTAGTTATTTTCACAGCATATTGTCGTACGGCATTTTGTTGTGGGGTAGTGCATCAGATATAAATTCTATATTTATTCTTCAAAAAAGAGCTATTCGAGCAATCTACAATATCGGAGCCCGGAATTTACTCAGAGATCTTTTCAAAGAGGTTAATATACTCTGTTGCTTCTCAATACATTTATTGTAATATTTTGTATATACGTCATAACCTTAATTATTACCTAAAGAATAGTGACAGACAAAATAAATACTAGAAATAAGGACAAACTTACTACACCATTGTTTCGTCTACAAAAAGTAAATAGGTCGTTCATGGGGCAAAGTGTGCGCATGTATAATAAAATCCCACAGTCAATATTAAGTCTGCCGCTTGACCAATTTAAATGTAAAATTAAAAATCAACTAATGATTAAAGCATATTATACCATTTCGGAATATCTCGACGACGCCAATGTGTGGAGTTAATACTGTTGATACTCACGTAGGCTAGAATAAGACTATTATACCTGTATATTATATTGTACCCTGATATTTTTTGAAAAAGAGCAACTGTTGAGTTTCTTGCCGGTCTCTTCTCAACAGAAACTGCTTTCCGATGGTACCTTACGAACCTATATACATAATCTTTGATGTAAAATTTGACGATTTATAAGAGCGCGCAAGCGTCTATTTGAATAAATATATTTGTGATTTTTAAATGAGGATTGCAAGTATAAATAAAGATTTTTTTTGGATCCATTTTTGTCTCAAATTAAGTTTTCTATATAAATTTAAACCTTTTCAAGAAAAGTAAGTAGTGTAAACCTTGTAGATAAATTGATGATAAATTCTTCGCAACTGCCGGGATTAGAACTTGTGCCTTCTGGGTAACTTAACTAGCTCGATGTAATCACTGCCCGGAAATTTCGACTTCATATATTCTTACTTTTAATTTATTTATTTATCACCAAAAAGGTACACACCGTATCAGAATAAATAAGCAAGGTTTGCAAAAAAGTGATTAGTGATACCTTAATTATAGGTAAAAACTACTTTTTAACAGATAGTATTATAATAATACAAGCATTAAACAAAAATACAGTAAAAATAGAAAAAAAAAACAGTACTTATATGGGGAGATTTTTTGAGAAGTGCCCAAATTTACACAGGAGGTTCAGACTCGGTAGTAGAATCGTTTATTGAAATAAAAAACAAGGTTTTTTTTCAAAAAAAAAATGCCATTCTATTCCCTAAAAACAGAACGTGTTGACAATGCGGTAGTCATTCATAAATACCTAAATTTTACTGTGGACGAACTTGTGTGCGTCTTAGTTATGAATGATTGCGCGTAAAATAAATGAGTTGCGTATAAATCACGCACTTTTTGAGATAAGTTCAAAGGAATGTAATTAATTACTTACGAGTGATTTTAAATATTTATCATTTCTTATATAACATTATTTATGTCTAGAATTTAATTAAAAAAAATGGATATACTTAGAAAAGCCTTGCTTTTATGGTGTGTAATTTTGATTAGGATAAGTTTTTGATTTTGTGAAACAAATGACAAAACATTTATTTATATTCAGAATCATCATATTTATCCGACACCAAGACTAAACGATCAACATCTTTTTGAAGTAAATAAACTTATGGTTTTGAAAAATTTTTAGTCGTCAGCAGAAAGATAGATTTTTTAATGATTAAAACAATGTTGTAGCGACGGCTAACTCTATTGGGTTCTATCTGCACTAGGCTATGTGAAGTGAAATACCACTGGTTATAGTAATAATAGTTTATTCTCGTAAGTAGTTGCACAATTAGAGTTCACTTGAGATACTTATAAGAATATAAACTAGTTCTATGTTAGGTATACAATTACAGTCTATTAGCATACTAACTATATCGCGTCGGTTGTCGAACTGCGCGGGAGCGGCGGGAACGTATTTTCAATCGGTCGCTCCCGCGTGGCGCGTCATGACTTTGAGCCGCGATTGGCTCTTGCGTTGCCGCCCGGGATTCGTCCAATCCGCGAGTACTATTAAGCCCGAGCGACTTTTGAAAAGGGCGCGTTACACACTCCCCCTCCAAGTTCCCATAACGACCCGTTGGGGACTTGGTTACACTAACATTCCGCGCGGTGTTACGAGGGCGACCACGAAGTCGCCGTGGTTGAACGGGCACCGAAAAGATACCTTGGCCTGGTGTGTATGGTGTTAACTCAGAACTATGCATTTTTCCCAGGTCGGTATTTGTCTCTAAATCAGCTATAACATAAGTAGTTGGGCTAATAATTTTACTAATACGATATGGGCCATCCCGTTTCGGCATGAATTTCTTTGTTAACCCTTTTGAAAAATGACTCAGCAAATGTGTGTCTACCAGAACCAAGTCATTAACACCAAACAAAGGTGACTGCCGTCGGTGTTGGTCAGTGTCGCTCTTCTTCCGATCCTGCTGGCATTCAGCTTTCTCCTTGATGACCTCCCAATTCTCAAGGAACCTTTTTAAGTAAGGAGTTATCTGTGGCAGAAAGTTTTCTTTCGATAATATAGCTCTCAGATCTCGTTGTGCATCAAACGGCGTCCTCAACTCCCGAGCAAACATCATATGAGCTGGACTACATCCCGTGGTAGCACAAACAGCACTGTTCATCGAGAACCTGATCGCAGGCAGATAGTTAGGCCACGAACGATGATTGTTCTTCACTACGATGGAGAGCTGAGTCTTGAGATCTCTATTCTTTCGTTCTGCTGGGTTGGCTTCAGGATGATAGAGTGGTGTTAAATTCTGTTTGATCCCCAATAAGAACATGGTCTGCTGCATAACAGCCGAGACAAACTGGACTCCGTTGTCCGAGATGACCCTCCTTGGGAATCCATACCGTAGGAAATATTGCTCGATAAGGGCTGGTGCGCAGACTTCTGCAGTGGCGTCCTTGAGGGCTATCAGCTCCACCCAACGCGTAGCTGTGTCCTCGATGAGCAGCACCCACTTTTCTCCATCGTTTCCTTCAGGTAGAGGTCCAAATAGATCTATTGCTAGAACCTCGCCTCTCTGATTCAGAACTGGGGTTTGCAGTAGTCCAGCAGGCTTCTGGTTACTTATTTTATAGCGTTGGCATTCTTCGCATCGCTTGAGATACTCCGTGACGTATTTACGCATTCCAGTGAAGTAGTACTTCTGATTAATGCGTGCGATAGTCCTCTCTACACCCTGATGTCCGGCAGTTGGGGCATCGTGATACTCCTTCAGTACGGCTTTTTTCATTGACGTGGGTATTACTAGTTGTGCTTCTTCTGACTCAGTGTTGGGATTGTAAAAGTAAAGAACCCCTTGAGCCATAACATATCCTCTCTCTAACCATCTGGTCGAGTTTATGGGATCCAAGTCTTCTAGATCATGAACTATCTTGGCGACTTCTGGATCTTGCAGCTGAGCAGTACGAAGTTCCGTCGGGTTTATTTGAGGAATATCGACTATAAGGGAACAGACTCCACATTCTTCTTGGGAGTTCTCATCGCAGACAGGCCGACTCAAAGTGTCTGCTATGACATTGGCCTTTCCTGGTGTGTATTCATATTTGATGTCGAAACCTTGCAGCTTTAATGCCCACCTAATAAGGCGACCGTTTGGTGACTTGTGAGTCAAAAGCCACTTCAACGGCTGATGGTCACTCTTTACAATCACTGTATGACCATCAATATAGGGTCGATACTTCTCAACTGCC